ATTATATGATATGTCTAATGAACTTGCAACAGCATCAAAGATAAAGCATTCAAACAAGCCGTAGTATGTTAACTTAACCATAGCTATCTATATATGTACTTGGCCATCACCAGATGACAGGTAATGAGAATTAATTTAATTCTCTTCCACTGAAGGCTAAAAGAACATGATCTGAGACAGTTACTATGACTTGGGTAGCATACCATAAATTATGCCACAGCCATTTATTTAACTTCTTGCCATATGAAGAAGTAACGTGTAGGGGCTGCCAGAAACGAAAAGAACTTGCATTTTTGCCTCATCATCAACAATCACCCTTCTACACAAAATACAGGGGTTTGTGACACAGTATAGAACTTCTTTGTATTTTTTCAGGTAGACATGTGATATTATGTTCATTAAGTTAATTTTCATATCATCACTATGAGTGTATTGGGTTCAGCTGTGCCCAGGCTGCATTCACTTTTACAATCTGGAACAGACCTTTGAAGTGAGAATCTACTAATAGCATAAAGTTTGATCTTTGTCCTCATGCCTTAGCATCTGTGTAGCCCCCTGAGGATCCTTCTCAGACCTGGAAGGAAGCACACCTTTGGACTCTATGTGTAGTAGCAGAGAGCACAACACTGCTGGCAAGCTGTGACCAAGGCTCAGCTAACACTAAACCTAGCAGTGACTTGGCAGCTGATGCACCATGACTACTACTTTGTGTGCTGTTCCTCAGCACCAGTTGCCCAAGTGCACCAGCTGTCTCCTCTTTTACAATAGTCCTGGAAGTAAGTATCATCTTTTTCTTATGGGTTTGTTTCGAACCAGATGTAATGAGATTCCTGGTCTAAGACTGGTAGGCATGAGTATAATGGATATAACAAAGGATGAAATGTCTTAATGTAGACCATTTAACCCTGAATACACATCCCTTCGTGTCCCCCAGCACTCAAGAGAAAACTCTGGAAATAACAAACACTGATGTGGATCCAAGGGAGCCTTTTATTCTGGAAGAAAGAGACCCTTTGTGCGTTTATATATTTGCAAGAAAGTCACAAGTTCCAGTACTAACTAAAGAAACATGCCATGTTTTCTTACCATTAGATGAGAGAGTCTATGGCTACATCTGAATTACTGAATAAAGCAGTGTGGAGACCTCCTAGTCAAGTAGCATAACACAGCCCATGTCCATGTGCTGAAACACTCTCCATTTTTGCCCAGAAAAGAGCAGACTCATACAGACTGTCTAATGGGAGCAGCACCGATGCCACACTCTGAGCCGTGCTGGGTCATTGGCAGGAACATCACAATCTGCCAAGGAGCAAAATCAAGGCAGAAAATGAAGCTTCATTCAGTATGGATGATCACAAGCCAGTGCCTGAAACCACACCTTGCCCTTCTTCAGCTGACCGAAGCAGATGTAGGAACAGAGAACACTCTGCATGTTACCAGCTCAGCACTCTTCTTTTGGGAAAAGCAAACCAGAAAAGGGTCACAGCAAACACACCTATCTAGGCACAGCTGTACCACTGCTGCTAGCTGGCAGCAGAGCAGGAAGGGGAGACCTGAGTCTGCACTCAGTTATGCAGGTGCAGATCAGGACTAGCTTCAATGAAACCAGTGGGACTGCTAGAATATAGTATGGGAGCAAATTCATACCATGTATATGTGGATTGTCTTCCGTCTTTAGTCCCATCTTGCACCCAGAGCAGCAGAAGTGTCTGAAGAAACAGAATATGACTACAGGCTCCACAGCACTTTGAGTACGCAGCTGGTTCTTGTTTTTATGTAACATAATAATTAAATCCAGATGCAAGGCGGGGGGGGAATAAATGCCCCACGGGTGTAAAACTTTTTAGGAGATCAGCAAGATCCACTTTCAGTTAGGCTTTTCAGTTTGAACTGGAACAAACCTTGTGTCTCAGGGTAAAAATTAATCTAGTAATAGTGAAGACACAATTACTAATGCAGACCTAACATTTTGGCCTACTTCACTGTTCACAGACAGCAGACAAAGATGTTCCTCACTCCATTGCCTACATAATGGTTACTCAGGGAGGGTATTTCCATTTTGTTCCAGACCTGTTTGTGCTTTGTCTGCAATTATTTTGTGCTCCCAGAACATCTGACAATTTGAATTCCTCAATTAGCTCAACACTCTGACACTTCTTTTTGTAAATATGATGTTGGCTCATGCCCTGGAACAACCAACCAATCACTCCATTATCACTTGTAGGGCAAGGAGCAACAAAAATATATCAGAATAATTGAGGATGCCTGAGCAAACTTCTGAGCCCAAAGGAAACAATCTGGATTCCATTTTCCCCTCGTTCCGTCTTCTCTCATAGCATTGATTGTCAATACCTCATTTCTGGTTCACATTGATGCAACCCATGGTTTAAAGTACTGTATTAAAATAGTGAGCATCAGCACCTTCCAAGTTTGTATGATGAATTGAATAATATGGGGAAAAATGTGCAATAAAGACAACCCAGGTGACTTGGGATCCTGTATCTCATTTTCAAGAGGGGCTCTGACAATGAAAATAGCAAAGGGACCCTAAACTGAGCCAGATGTCTTGAGGAACTGGTAAGTGTGTCTGCTCAGCATAGGAGGTAAACTGGTTCCCAGTGGGCTTCAGCAAAGACTGTGCAACCCTTGCTCATACAACTGGAACCAGTGGTGTTGCACTGAACTGCACCTAACTTGTTACTGCTATGTGTGTGGACTAACTCAAGGCTCACTCATGGCTAATGCAGGCATACCCTTAGTTTAAGTATAAATGAGATAATCTTGACTGAAGGATTTTCATACATACCTTTACACACTCTCCTCCATTTCCATTGTCTATATTCACTAAAATTCAGTAAAAAATTATTCTGCTTAGACCTGCAAAACCAAGAAAGCTTTTGGGCAGACACTTATGGACCAGCTAGGACCACCCACCAGCTAAGGGGCATCAGAGAATATAGCAAGCTTTAAATCTGTATGGGTGGAAAGAAGTATTGCAAAGGCAGACACTGGGATAAGAATCTGTTTTCCATTTAGAAACTGTCTCACTTCCACAGTGCATGGTGTAATCATTCAGCTGCAATCCTCAGTCTGGCGGGAGCCAGTCCTAACACTCTGTGTTAAGACTAAACAACAGAAGCAAACAAGCAGCAAATAGACAGTATTTCTGCTGTCCCAAAGTGGTTGTGTCATGAAGGCTATTTCTCCTAGGAGTTATTATCAAAGAAAGAGTTTCCAAAGCAAACTAGATAAAATATTTTGTCCAGGGATGGTAAAGGCAGCTGAGTTTTCCATTTATGTTCATCCCAGCTTCTCAGAGTTCTCTGGGATAAGACTGGACTATGATTCATTTCTAAACTTTGTTTTTCAAGCTTGTTGTCAGCAATCTCATAAGATTCATTGTTTTCTAAACAAGCAGCTTGTCTGGCTGGATAGATACACCTACCCATCCTTGCAACCTTGAGAATGGAAGCTTACATGCAGATGAGACTCAGGATTGCTGTCTCTTGCTACCCAGTGCTCCACAACCTTAACTACAGCACCATGCAGACATGCAAGTGCAGGTCTCAGAAGCAAACGGCCATAGCCCAGTGCCAGAGTCAGCTAGCCCCAGCCACCAGCAGGGATATTTAGCACTACTACTCACAGGACAGTTTTGCCACTGGTGGAGGTAGCATCTGATAGACCTGCAGTTCATGCCATAGCTTACAGTGGGCATGAGAAACAGTGCAGAAAGAAAAATCATCTTTGATTTCAGGGCAACCCAGGAAAATAAGGAAGAGAAATATACAAAGGAAATCTAATCCTAATTTGGTCAGTACAATATAATAATTCTGCTGGCTCAGAGGAATGCAAGAAGGCTCATACCTTTCTAAGTCACGAACTTTTCCCACTTTTCCCGAGGGTAGGTGAGCTCAAGAGCCACAGGACACACAAAGTGCTTTAGAGACAGACACAAAAAATATTCCAGGAGAGCCTGGCATACCTCAGGCTCTGATAGCCACCTTAGGGATGTTGTTTGCAAATGATAGTAGAAACAGAGTGTGGTAAACAATTCTTTAAGAGCTAAATGACATGCAAGTGCCTTCACATGTATTCTGGAACAATATTGCAAGAGTCAGACCAGGGTAAGATATTTAGGATCCAAAAATTCCTGAGTCTGCATGGATCTAACATGATACATGTGACACAGGGAGACTGCACAAGGTGAGCAGGTGCTGCCTGAGTCACAGAGGTTGCTCCTGAGGTCATCCTGTGCATGTCTCACCAGCTTTGCACAATGAGGGAGAAGTTTCTCAGTGGAGAACAGGAATTTACACCTAACATGTCAAAGAAAAGCTATCCTTTTTTATTTTATTTTTACTTTTCAGTCTTGGGCATCTTAAAAGCTTTGTATTTCTGATTCCTTAAATTATTGCTTTAACTAGAATTTAAAAGAAGGTGATCTAGATATTTACAGTCTTCTGTTTAATTTGAGCAAGTTATCAAAAGTACTAAATTATATATAACAGGCACAGCCACATTTCAGGAGGGCATTGATCTATGTAGGTACATTTCTGTCTCCTGTAGGTTATTCATCCAAAGCTCATCAAAGCTTTAGTGTAAAGCAAACTGTTTAAAGCTTTTCTTGTTTTTTAAGTAAAAGCTATTCCTTTCCTATGAATACACCTTTACTGAACAAGGATTATCACTTCTGGTTAACTCATCCTCCAGTACAAAGTGCAGTAAGAATCTGCCAGCTCCACACCCACTGCTGGTTAGGGATAGCACACAGGCAGGGATGCTGACAGCTTAAATACTCTAAGGCAAAAAGGCAAGCACCAGGGCAGAGAGTGAAAGAAAGGACTCGAGTTCAGCAGTGTGTGTGGTCTGCTACGGTGGAGTTGTGCATTGTGCTCTGGGGAGACCTGATGGTTGTGGTTCTTGCTTTCCCCTCCTCTCAGCCAAACCTAACTCTCCAAACACATGTGCATAGGAAATACTTTTGTTTTTCATTGCAGGGATGCCAAGAAGGATTTTATCGTACCAGCTCAGGAAAATGCTCTCCTTGCAACTGTAATGGTAATGCAAACAGATGCCTTGATGGATCTGGAATCTGTGTGGTAAGGAATTCCTGTCTTCTCTGATTGTCCAACTCTTCTATTAACACTAATGCTCAGTTTCAATACACAAGAAAAGCAGTGTCTGTACCACAGGAGCTTTTTGCTGAGGAGTGATCACAAGTAGGGCCAAGTTCAATACATTAATGAGATTACCCTAGTCAATTTTCATTCTCACTTTCTTAAATTATCTCTGCAGATTCAAAACACTTCCTGCATGCAGTATTTGTAAGAACCCGTATTCTGGGGAAAAGTTTTAGTCCATCAAAAATCTGGAAAGAGTTTTGCATACCTCTGGAGAAAAAAAAATGTATAAATTCAAACACATTTCATTGTCCCCTTTATGAATACAGTGCTGTATATAATGTAAACAATTTACAGTGGTGAGTGACCCCTGTGAGTGTATATACATGTGTTATCCATAGCAATTCTGCTGCATGGCAGCCTCCTGCTGTGAAGGAACAACATGAGAAGGTTGAAATAATACACCAAGGGAAGAGCATGTTGAACTCCAAGGTAGTGTTACAATTTCCCATATGTTCAGTCTCACTCAGAATCAGCTCATACAGAAAGCTGTGTGTTAGTAATAGTTAAACACTTGTAGCTCCAGAGGAAAAAACAGCACAGTAAAACTAATCCCAACTACTAGTGGGCAATCAGAGCACTCATACATTAAAAAAAAAATGATGGAAGTTAATAGTGTAATGTATCTGAAACACATAGCAAGAGCTAGGCACTAGTATACTCTTTGCAGGCTTGTAAAGCAGGAGTAGAGCCCAGAACTCTTTGCTCTGCCATGTGTTACTTTTGACAAGTCATAAACCTTTGCCCTCAGTTTATCTCTTCATAAAATGGCCTGATTATATTCACATACTTTGCATCGTTGCAGCCACTATCAAGTTTTCAGTTATACAAATACATAAAGTCATGCTCCATGGCATATTTCCTACTCTTTTAATTTCTGTGGGAAGAAGACAGTGCAGCTGCTCAGCCCAGGAACAATTATTATGGCTTGGCCACTGTAATGTGCTTAGAATTGGCTGCTTTCTGCCGGACACATATTGGCTTAGTGTTTTAATACTAAATTTTCTAAAGTTGTTTTACACTGCCAGGCATTCCCAGCTATTCTCCTTCACATGCACAAGGCTTGTGCTCATGGGATTGTCCCCATAGCATCAAGTTACAATGATGCCAAGAGGACACTTCTGATGGAAGACTTGGGAACAAGAGAGAGAGCTTGTCAAACATCTGCTTCTCATGTCACCAGAGAGTTTCTGGAGTAGAATATATGAGGTGGGGAAGTGATTGTATTCTCAGTTTACAAACACAACTGAAGACCTGTTTCCTGTCTTCTACAGAAATAAGGCTGATGTCAAGCAAGGTTTCATTAACAAAAGAAAAAAAAAAAAAAAGAAGAAAGTTACCATATCAACGGGAAAAAATCTGAAAGTATATGGGCCCTGACTGGTGTTTCTCCAGGATTCTAAACTCTTGGAATCAGCCAGGTAGTAAGGAACAAAGCTAAAAACTAAACCCCAGTTTACTACTTTAGTTCAAATAAGCCCTTTGATAGTTTATCTGAATTATTTTAAAAGCCATTAAATTCAGGTCATTTACTTCCGAATAAAGAGGAACAGTGAAAAGGCTTAAGTGAAATAAGAGTGAAAAGGAGAGGGGAAGAGCAGAATGAAAAGAGGTTTCAAGGGTTTGACAGCATAAAACAGAGCAGAGATGCCCATGGGGGCTGCAGTAACAGGAATTTTCTGAGGATCTGGAAATTTCCAGGGAAGCTTGGAAGACTAATGAAACTGTTAAACTGAAAAATGTGACTGAGAAAACCTGGGAGAAGAAAAGCTTAGAGAAAGATGGAGCTTGAATTACAGCAGAAAGATGCATGTTAGATGAATGAATGAATGTAACCTAGTAAAAGGTGACCTGATGGTTTGGTAATATGCTTTGTATTAGAATCAGTGGACAAAACTGCCTTCCCTAAGGACTGATGTGGGGAAGGACAGGTACAAATCTGGCTGAGACTGGGGAGAAAGGAGTAGGTACCTGTATAGCTGGGAGTTCCTGCACAGAGATAGCACTACATGGTACAGAGAGCTCACTATTTTCTCTGTTTCAAATTTTTGGGCAGACTACTCCAATAATTCTTGCAGTGATAACCACTACACCTGACAGTAAGACATGAAATTTCCTGCACTCAGTTAGTTTTTAATGGGCTATTAAAAAATAAGTCCATATTATTATTATTGCATCTTCCATTTCTATCAGTATGATATCTGAGATGCAACAGTGTTCTCAAGTTTTATCAGTTGTGGACTCTCCACCATCACCACATCTTACCCTAACCATGAGACATAGATACAGAATGTCTTTAGCAGAAGATCTTTAGAAGAACTGAAGTTGCCCAAAGTTTTTTAACATTAACTCTGCCAACAACACTTGAAGTAATGATAACATGAAAGTATAATAACACTGTGTTCAGTTGGTAGATAATAATATTTTTATAGTTTAAGCAATAACTGAGCTATAAGAATTGCATCAATAGGCAAGATATTATGAAAAGGAAAAAGTACTCCATTTCAAAAGGGATGAAATATAAGGGTCAGACTCCATATGATGCTCTGAGACCATCACATTATGCAAATCCCCCAAATCAATTTGGCAAATATAGTTCCCACCATATACAAATTAATGAAATTTTCCTTGGCCTATGCCCTGAATTTAAGATCAAATAAAATTAAACCCTTATTAATGATGCCTTAGGGTAGAGTGCTCACATCTTTAATTTCTGCTGACATATGTATCTTGAGATTCTGTTTCAAAACTTCTCTCATTTTATTCATAGTGTGTAAATCAAATCCATGAGTCTTTAAAAGTTTATTGAATGACACAAATCAATGAATTAACAACCTCATTAGATAATCAGACAGAAGAAAATATTGCAGATAGAGGCTTTCTTGCATAGATGTCCACATAAAACTGGTACAGGAATTAGTCACGTGGTCCTATGATTAAAACTCAAAAGGCACTCAGTATATTTTGTTAGGATAAAAAATCACCCAGGTGTTAGAAGAAGAAGAGCCAGCACAGTGTAAGCTCCATTTATGATATAATGAAATAGAGATTTCAAATAATGCTTCAGTTCAAAGACATTATCTGGTGATGTATGTAAGGCTAGTAGGGGAAGAAACGCCAATTCTTTGTGTTGATTTTAGACTTTGGACTTTTAACATAATTTTCTCAGTCCTGGCTAAGAGAACAAAATGAATTCACTTATAGGACTCTAGCTTTTGATTTTGGAAACATGCATGTATGTGGTGTTAACTGTGCATTTCTCCTGCATAAAGCCCATCATGTTTTGCTGCTAATAAGTTAGGAAGACATGAAGGGAATGTTTTGCTTCTTTCACCATCCCCCAGATGCTACCACACCAGCAACCTACAGCTGAGCTATTTCTTTAGAGCACCTCCATTGAGGGGTCAACATTTGAAAATTCAGACATAGGAGCAGGCTTCAAATGACTGGACTTCAGAGGAGCTGTGATGGCTAGCTCTGAAATGAGTGGCATGGGGAGGTGAAACAGCTTTTCTAAAGCAATGAGCTCTCATATCATATGCAAGTAGTATAATTGGCAGGGCTTTACCATATTTTAAAATTTGATTGTACACTCTAGGGAAGGAAGTTGCTCAAGGTGACTGCAATGTACTATGGCAGTGCCTCCAGATGAACATAAAAAAATGGATTGAAAGGTTGAAAGGATTTAAAAATTATCAAGTTGTATATGCAGGCAAATTTTTTGTTAGACTGAGTTACCAGTGTCCTTTGTGAGGCTTCTTCTATTAATGGAGGTTAGCTCTTCGTAGGTGCTTGAAAACACATACAGAAGAAGAAGCAAGTCTGGAGAGAGCACTATAGCAGAAGGTGAAGGGTAAATTTGTAGTGTCTACCTAAAAATCTCTAAGTGGTTTGTTATCATCTCAGTCCCATATATATATGATCAGTATATATAAGGCATCCATATACTCATAAATAAATAAATATGACCTTTACAAAATAAGAAAGAGCAAATGATCATAACAGTGGAAAGGATAAATTGGTATCTTTTGCAGCCTTTTATGGAATTTTTTACAATAGAGCGTATTGTCGTATAAGTGATTTGTGTTTAAGGGTCTGGGTTTACAGCTGAGTGCAAAGGCTGGAACAGATTTGGCAGTTCTGCTCAAGAGGATAATATGTTCCACATGATTGCCAAGGCTGGTCTGGAGAATGGCCAGTGGATCTACAACCATCCATCAAGCATGAGCAAAAAGCAGCAGGGAGCTAGCAAAGCTCTCCAGCTTATTAGGTACTTCTGGCTTCATAAAGAGTCTTGCTGCTTATAGCTCACTGCTTTTTCTATAAAGATGGACTACAACTATCTATAGTGACCTTGGTGATATATGTTTGAAATACTAACTACAACAATCTAGTGCTGAACTGCAGCTTTTCTCTTCTCCAGAGTGTTTTAGAACTCAGTACTTGTCAAAAGCATTATTGTAAGCCAACTCATTTTCTCAGGTATAGATATTTCCCTCCCTCTTAACTATGTTTAAACTTAGTACTTGCTGTCCTAACTGGTTTGCTACTGAAAACTTGCCACAGTGACCCCCAACATGCAAACACTGTTTCTGCTCCCCACACAGCCTATGTAAGATGCACAAAGGAAGTCAGGCCAAGACAGTGAGGAAGGGCTGCTGTTGCTTTCATGCCTGCTCAGCCTCATTTGTCACAGTTAGCCAAGACAAGTGATGGATTGAGAAAGTAGCAGGCCAGGTGGGTTTGACAAGGCATCAGCTCCCACTTCACTAATACAGGACAAGTTCTACAAATCAAAACTTGGACATAGAGGGGATATGTTGACCCAAACTGGATCAAGAAATGTCTTGTTGCTATTCTTGGGTTTTTTTTAAGTAGACAGTTGTCTTTACTTCCGTAAAAATTGCATAATACTTTATGTTTACTTACAGTGCCTCATCTCCCCTCTTCCATAAGAAATTCTGAAATCTAACACTACATCTCATCCACGGTGGCTGGAGAGAGAAAGTTTAAAATCATAAACCTCATAGATGAAAAAGATAAAACATGTACATCTTTTAACAAGTCATTATGCTGTACTCATTATTATTTTGGGACAGCATCAAGTTCTGGTGTGCTGGCATGGGCAATGCTATGCAGTTCTGTAACCTCAGATATGACAGCATATATGAGGGGAAGTCTAAATCTACCCCAGGCCAATCTTCACTGGCTCAGCAATAAATAAAGACAGACTGCACAGCAATGTAAACCACTTCCATCTGTTTACCTATCTAAGTTATTTATCCTTGCACAACCCTTTGTATTAGCAATTTTATAAGACTGTCTCTCAGAAGAACAAGAAATAAGGGAGAAAACAAACAAACAAACACTGATACACTGTAGCAAGACTGTTTTCATCTGAAAAGTAATAAATAGCCAGAGTTTGAGGACACTTCTGGATTTCACAGCTAATGTTCAAGACCCTGAGACTTGGGGGGATGTTGTGGGTTTTTGTTGGCATAGTGCTAACTTCACCAGAGGCAGTGCTGAGTATTAGCTTTTGATTGCCCCTGGAATGTCTCCATACCATCCAGCATTAGCTACCTAACAGGTGCTCTGCAGCACTCTATGCAGGTCCTGTCTTTCTTTAAATTTAGAGGGCACACAGTACACCAGTCTGCTGCCTGCTAGCCATGGAGACAGCCCAGACTGCCTAAACTGCACTAAGCATTAGCCATCTGAAGAAATAATTTCCCTAAAACTGCCTAAAGGGCACATTGAAGCAAGCTGGTGCCTTGGAAGACCATTAGAATAAGCCCTCCTCTTGTAAGGTCAGGTTCCTAAATTAAGGTGAGGCAGATTCCCACCTCTCAGATTTTCAGTTATATCCATTTACAGGTGTCAGTAAAAGGGGTTTTTCCCTGCTGCCACAAGCAGTTCTAAACAGGGCAGCCAGTTACAACTGAGCACCTCTGACAACAGGCAGTGCTGCTTCTGCTCCAGCACCTACCAGGCACATATGTCTGTTTTGTCCTGTACTGCACCTTGCCAGTGCTTGCTGATGGTCATTGTAACCATTTATAGCATTTTTATTGCAGCAGTGTGAGCTGGTTTGGCTGCATCTCTCAATACCTTGAAAGGTAGAGGTCTGGCATCAGCCACTCTTCTGCTTGACCTAGTCTTCATCTAAACGATTTCTTTCTGAATTAGACAGCACCTCCATTTACCTTTCACCACTCTCTCTCTTTCCACTGAAGGACTGCCAGAGAAACACAACAGGACTGCACTGCGAGCAGTGTCCAGATGGCTTCATTGGTGATGTGGTCAGAGGAGTGCCCACATTCTGCCAGCCCTGCCCCTGCCCCTTGCCAGAGCTTGCCAAGTATGTTAAGAGTCTTTGCTTCTCTTTGATTTGTGCTGCCTTTGGCCCTTCCCGATGCAGGAGACAAAGCTCCTGCCCTTGACAAATGAGAGAAAATAAGAGGACTACCAGCTGCTCACATTTATAAACACAGAAAACAGCATTTCATTTAGAAGGTGTAAAATATCCTTAAGTGCTCATATTAATTCTTACCAAGAGTGAGGAAAAAATATTTGAACAAATTCAAGCTCACCTTCTTTTATGTAGGAGAGATTATTTGGTTTTCTGGTTACTTTTAAGAATCCCTTAAAGACGAATTCCCAAGGGAGATGGCATTAAGGATTTATGTGGCTCAGACAGAGATCCATCCATGTCCTCTGAAGGGTAAAACCAACCACAAAAAAAGCATAACCTGTCAGTATCCTGAGTCAATTCCAGATGGATCTGATTAGTTGTATTACAGTTAACAGGAAAGGGCTGGAGGACCCTCTGACATGTAAGGTGCCCCTTCAGCTGATATCCAGCTAGTTTTGGGTAAGAAAATCTAAAGCCTGACAGAAAACCAAGACCAAGCCAAAGAGCTCCAGCTGTCATATGCTTTGTGCCTTCAAAAAAAAAAAAAAAAACCAACAAAAAAACCAAACCAAACAAAACAAAACCCGAACAAACCAAAAAACTACAAAATATGACCATAAAACTCTCAGTGGCATGTCAGTAATGCAACTGAAAGAAATTATCAACTTCCTCCTGCTCAAGTTTCATGCTCTGGGAGAGAGCAAATGCAAATCCCACCATAGAGCAGAGAGGAGGAGATGCTAGCAAACAGTTGTCAATGGGCTATTTTTCAGGGAGGTACATACTCCCCTTGTGTTGTTTCCCATCCTGCTTTCAGCAGGGCTTCTCAGCAAAGGGAATTTCCTCCTCACTGTATTTGTTTGCTGTTGCTATAGGGTTGCTCACAAAGCCTTAAGGTGGGATGAGCTGTATTTGGCTCAGCTGCTCAGTGGCATCGGCTCAAACTGGCAGTGGAACAAAATCACTCTGGCCAAACTCCCACAGATCACCTCTTGGCTTTTGCAGTGAGCTGCAGACACAAGAGAAGGCCCAGAGGGTGGGGAACAGCTATTGCTGAAAAACTTCAGCTTTGCCTGGATTATAGAGAAAATCCTCTGGAGACAGTGGAAGAACCTGACTTTGCACAGATGCAAAAAGGCTTAGAGTGAGTGAGCTCACAGACTAAGCAGACTGCTTCCTCTAGTTTCAGTAGCAGCTGCAATGCCTGAAAAAGTGGAAATACAACGCACAGAAGCACTGCTATTCCCTTAGCAAAGTGATTTTTTTTTAAAACTTGTTGGCCACAGAGCAGAAAGTATAAGAAGCTGTTCTCTCCACCACAACCTGGGCTGCACAAGACCCAGTCACTATTAAGCAAGGTCACTCAAGCAAGGTCTAGTCTGTCCTCCCTACAGTGCAATTTAACACAGCATGGCTGGGTCTGCATTCACTCAGCCCCAACTCATTCTGCAGCCCACTGGGTTCTGCAGCAGAGCCCCCTGAAGCTGGGAGCTGGAGAGCTCACAGGGCCACTGAGCAGGGCTCAGTGCAGTGGGACCAACAGGGACCTGGTGTACAGCCTCTCTCTGCCAGAGCTGTGGGAGATAGGAGCAAAGGCCAAGGACCATTCCCAGCTTCAACATGCTCCTTAGCCCTGCTGCTAGGAACTTAATGCCTCTTGTATTCCCAACCACCAAAAACAAGGAAGCCCTGAACCCAGAAGGACAGCAGCATAGGATTGGGAAGGAAGAACAAAAGTTGCAAGGAGTCTGAATGCAGATGCTTCAACATTAGCAGCAATATAACACTTGGACTTGATGAGCCTTGTGGGCCCCTTCCATCTCAGAATATTCTATGTTCTATGATATGCCACTCCTTTAAAACTACCTCAGTAAAATTCACTTCAGTTTTACAGAGTTTCCCCTCAAAAAGAGTCCTGAAAGAAATAATTAGAGGAATATCTGATCCCAATTTGCCTCATACCCCTGTTTAAATAACAGGCAGAAATTGTCTGTTCAGCTTCTTGCATGAGACAGACCTGACCACAGCAACAGTCTTCAGCTGGGGCCAGAACATGCAAATAATAATAATTGAGCAACATTCAGCCTTGTGTAACTAAATTCAAAGAAAAAATGTTCTTTGTTGGTTTGGATATTTTTTCAATTTTCCTTCATTAAGCCTACTCCACACATAGTATGGCAAAATAATAACCCTACCAGAAACAGAGGAGTATTAAATATCTTAAATTAAGAACATCCAAAGGATGTTGTTTTGTACTCTGTTTTACCTTGGAAATAGCCAGTGAATTCATAATAGGTGAAATGACCAAATCTGTAAACTGACAGACTCATCAGACAGATATTTTTTCCTGGAATTCAGCTGTGTGTCTCTAGATTTTCTGACCAGACTATCTTCATATCTGCTGTCCTGGGAACTTTTGGAGTAACTTTTGGACATTACACATGGAGTCTAATGTCATCTCTTTGGAATAAAAAAAAAAAAAAAAAGGATGGAGTTTGCTTAACAGTTCAGCAGATGTTACTTCTTTTTAAACCCAAGGGAATTATACAACATTTTTTCCCCTAAAAGATCACAAAAAAATATAAAACTTCAGGAAGGTTTTGGTCTTATTTCATAACTTAAATCCACAATGTGGTTTTCTCAACTACGTGAAGGAATTAGCCTCTGTAAGAGAAGATGAGCCCTGCCAAACTATTATGGTTTTCTCAATATGTTCCTGTAAAATCTGCACAGAAGTTAATTTGTGAGTCTGTGAGAAGAATCTCATTTTGTGTTCTCTCTGGTTAAATGAAATGTTTTGAGGCAGCAGAGATCTAGACACAGATTTATTTGACTCTGGTTGTCCAACCAGCTGAGAAATGCTGTCAGGAACTGAAATTATGCAGGAATTCTTGTCTCTTTTCAATGCTGTTTGTTCCTGGAACAAGCAGTGCAGGGATCATGCTCTTTCCCATTGCTGTGAGTCTTTTGTCCTGTGTGAAAGGGATGCAACCCAGTCACAGCTGCCCAGCACTGTACAACTCAGGATCTGTGTTTTAGCACCCATGGGCCTGCAGCTGGCAACTGCTGCCACTCACTAGTCTGGTTGCATTCCTGTGCTGGCAGAAATTTATTCACACATGTTGCAAACTAAGTGGAAACATCTTTAGGGCTGTATCTCTTTATTCCTGCAAATGTATTTAAACCATGTTCAACACCATGTCTGAAGTGTACACAGTTTGCACTTTCCCCATCTGGCTGCTTGGATCTGTCCCTTGGATCTCATATTTAGTTACACATTTGTTACAACCTGAAAACATAAGAAAGGAAAGGAATTCATGATTTAGAATCAGGGCAGTAAAAAATACAGCCCAAGTCATTATTGCAATCAGCATGTTGATCTCAGAAGAGGCCACAGACTCTTTCCAGCTTACCTGGAAAGATGGTAGAGCAGCCTTGGTTACTGCAAACTCAGTTACTGTAAATGGGAACAGCATCACTGAGGTCAGTTTTCACAACACAGCACTTCCAGATTGGATTTGAGGGAAACTATAGGATTTGCATAGGAAACTGCTGCACCCTTTCCAGCATCTCAGTTTCTGAAGTGCTCACTGCAGTGTTTTTCACAAGCAATATTTTAGCTCTTAGAATAAGAGACAGGAAGCAATTAGGTTTACATGACATAGACATTTATCCTAAGTCCCTTATCTAAAATGGTGTATCAAAACCTGCAGGTGTGACTGATTTACACTGCAAGACAAGAACTTATAGATATATATGTATTTGTACAGCTCCCTAGTGCTATATATTAATTAGTGCTTTCTATACTAATTAAAATGACTAAACAAGGGGTATAATGTGAATAATATAAAGATTTTAATACCTATTCAGCAATGGGTAACCAGGACCAGAGTTCATACTGACAGTAAATGTCCATAATGTAATAAAGAAACATTCCCAAGTGTTTGCCATTGCCTGCTCTTCTAACTATTCATTCTAACGAAATTCCAGCTTTGCAGTTTCCTGTTACAGAAAAAGTGGAAGTGTGCGTTGTGTCTGTAAGGAAAACTATGCAGGACCCAACTGTGAAAGGTAAGAAACTAATAGGATAAGTTACTGGTCAGCAATACTGAAGTCCAGAATTCTTCCCATATAGGGGAGAAATCTTGTGCATTTGTTTTCATCAGGTTGAATCATGTCTGTTAAATTATCTCCTTCATTTCCTACTAAAAAACATTAAACCTTGCTGTAAAGACATGTCATCATAAGGCAGACATTTACCCTTGATGTATTTTGATCTAGTTCTTGCACTTTGTGTACCTTCATGTGGTGATCTTCCTAAAAGAAATGCAATTTAAAAATACAAAATACAAATCAGGAACAGCAGCTGAAGTGAAAAATAACCACCACATAGATGCCTCTGGCAATTCATACCCCTAAAACATATAGCAGGCTTCTACCAAATACTTTTTTTCAAAAGCAAAGTATAATAAATCCATCATTGAATCAAATTCTTAATGAGCAGATGCAGCTTTTTTAGTTACATTTTAAATGTCCTTCACAGATATAATTCAATAAAATCAAGCAAATAATCATTGACCAGTGTTGCTTTTCCACTTTCCCTTATGGCCATAAACAATTTCCAGTAAATATTCTCTAAATAACAAAGTACACAAATAAATGGAGCTACACAGCAGAAATATAACTTCCTCTCATATCCTGTAGTCACTATGCACACACATAGATGATGTTTCAATGAATGTCAGAGGCCTGATTATAATTCAGAAATGGTCCTTGAGCAGCCAATAAATTAAAACAGCTCTAACACAAAGACTGAGGGCTATGGGATGGCTCAGGCACTGGCTTCCTTAACATCTCATTTTGCTTTCCCTTAAAGCCCCTGAAGTATTTGTCTTCAGTCAACTGTGATTAATGGGCAAGTCTTGAATGCAAATGATACTTAATGTAACTGTCAGAGAAGGGAGAAAAGGGGATGTTTAAGATGCAAAGAGAAATCGATATGAAAAAGGTAAGATGAACAAATGAGTGAAGGCTTTTCCCCTCACAGATGATGCAAAAACATCAGTATCTAACCTCCACATCACTAACATGGTGACAGCAGCAATGAAAGCCCTTTAGACAGATGGCACAGAACTAAAAAAAGCCACCCTTGTTTACAGGCCCATGGCTGTATTCTTTTGTTCTTCAAAAATGTCAGGTTTATACACAAAGGATAATGCAGACAATTAAAAGGTCAGTGAGGTTTCTTAATGGTTATTAAAACGTCAGCCTAGAGTACAAGCAATACAAATCCTATGAAATGGGTAGCAGATGTATAGTAACAGCACGAAACAGCTTCGGCTTTGTTTTCTAATAGCCACTGTGCTGCCTGACACAGTGCATCTGTCTCAAGGAAGGCAAAGCTGGGTAGAAAACGCTACAGAAAGAAATTAGCCTGTCCCAGACACCATATTAAGACCTCAGCTAATCGCTGGGGTAAGCAGCAAGCAGTGGCAAACAGGAGTTGCCTTCTGTTAGGCTCCTTGCTTGTCCCTATCCACTTGCTAACAAGCAAGTTACAGCTTCACTTGCACTGCTGCTGGGCACTATCAGCACTCCCTACTCCCACTGCAGCTATGGCACCATCAGCTTGATGGCAGGAGGACTGGGAGATCCTGAGCAAGAAGAGGCATCGTGCCTGTCCCTCCCTGCACCCAAAGAGCAGCTTGTATTCCCATCCTGCTCCACACTCTCCCTCCCAGCTCTCCACAGCAGTCGATGACAGGCAGTGTGATGCAGTGAGCTGCAGGACATCCCTTCACCGGCAGCACGTGGGATCTCCAGAGCAGCTGACTGGGAGGCAACCTGGTCCCTTTCCTCTTGCATTTGTTTAGACTTTCTTGTGCAGCTCTAGAGGCTTGGCACAAACCTATTCAGTTTATGTTTGCCAGCAAATGGTGGTGTGAAATCACAGAGACCCTTGCTAGGAACTGAGAAAACCAGCTTTCCAATTCAAAATTTAGGAATAAATCCTTTTGCTCCTGGACTTCAGCAATAAGACATTAGGGTGGTAGCTGATTAAATGCAGGTCGTGTTAATGTCCAAATGTTAAAAAAGATAACTAAACAAATGACACTTTAGTGTCCAAAGCAAATAGATGAAAAAGGATCTTCTGGCATTGCTGTGAAACAGGAAGTTAATTTTTTACTCACCAATAATTACAGGAAGAAACTATGGCTGCAAAATTAAACAGAGATAACTGAGCTGTTTTATTGTGGGAGAGGAAATATTCTTTGTTAGCAACAAAGAGTCATTTATTGATATAATGTAGGAAAAGACATTTACTGCAGGCCTCTGAATTTTTTCAGGCCATAAAGTGCAGAGATGGAGCAGTATGTTTCCAGTCACCAGTCTCTGTTCTTCTCATGTTACCCACCATTCAAAGAGGGGCCAAGTGCCTCAGCCCTATGAGATGCAATAAGTGGCAAAGAGAACAGGAAAGTGAAGGTGACATGTTTATTTTCAGCTCTGAAAGTTTCTATTTGTTTTTAACAGCTAGTCCGGATGAGAAGATATGGCTAATAAAAGTGAGTCATAAAGTCACAGAATGCTTCAGGTTGGAAGGGACCTTAAAGATCATTTAGTTCCAACCTCCCTGCCCTGGGCAGGGAAACCTTCCACTACACCAGGTTGCTCAGAGCCATATCCAACCTGGCCTTGAACACTACCAGGGATAGGGCATTCAGAACTTCTCTGGGCAACATGTTCCAGTGCCTCAGACGGTCATAAAAAGCAGCACTTACAAAATATATCTGTGAGGAAATGTCCACTACATTCCTGGCAAGTGAACAGAAAGGTATATTTCAGAAAAAAAGAAAAAAATTACATTTCCCAGTGAGAGTGCAGACATTGATGAGGATAGCATGCTGTCTTTGGTAGATGCTGGCTAGCACTAACCAAAATGCTGGTCTGGCCCCAGCCCTACTCAGCAGCCTCTGTGATTTGGTGGCCACATTTGACAGATGACCATTTGAAAAATACCAAACTACAGAAAATCAAAAAAACACCTGACTCCACCAAAGCCAGATAAATGACCCTCAGAGCTCAGTGTCGTATTCAGAGTTCTTCAAGGGGTGCATAGCACTCCCAGTCCCACATTTATTCTTTACATCTGGGTCACCCATATGATAAAATCTGCACCAAAGACTCTGGCAGTGCTGCAAAGAGACAAAAAGCCTTTGTCATTGACAAAAACAGTATTTGAGGCAGCCAAGTGGTTTATATTAAGATGCTTTAAATTTTATGTGTTTTTTACTGTGGGGGGTCAGGACTGGAACGTGAACAAAGCAGTGTTGAGGAAATTACTTTCTTTATTAAAAAAATAAATCAGCAAACACAGGAACAGATAAAAACTTTAAGCTTTTATCAGATTGCCCACATTTTCGTCATTCAGATCTGGATTTGACTATGTTCAGATCTTAGGAGACAACAGACCTCAGCTCAGGTACCTAGCCAGAACCTGGGAAAATTAAACTGAACTGCCTGAGCTCTCACCCTCCCCACCCACCAACAGCAGAACAAACAGCATCTTAAACAGGACTTTATGGATGGGGGAAAAGACAAGGACAGCATGGTGATAAAACAGAATGGACGACAATAAATACTCCTTACCTAAATCAATGCAGCAAGTATTCAATCCTCCAGTTTCTGCAGCCAGCAATTGCTACACCAGGTAGTTATCCTCCTCCTTGCAGTAATTCTTCATTTCCAGTTCAGGGATCAGCTCCTGATCTCTGTGCCCCAGGCTCCTGGGTCCTGTGTCCCCCTGCCACCATGCAGTGACACTGTGAAGAGTGTGGGTTGCTCCTGTTCTTCCAGCTGACCCCTCCAGTCCATCAGATGCTGCTCCATGCTGCTCCAACTGCCAGCTTCTCCAGAAAATCCCTTTCTCAAGGATTTGCTCTCATGAGCTGCTCCATGCCTACCCTGGTACCAGCTCTCTTTGCCTCACTGGTGGTTTTGCAAAAGCTCCTCTAGCTTGTAGGATTAAACACACTCCCTGATATCAGCAAAAGCATCTTTAACTGAGACCCTCTATTCCCAAATGATGACCAAATCTACTACCTCTTAGCTTAGGGCCACTGGTCACCCAGGAATGTTGCACATGGCTGGTTTGTCTAGACTTTCAAAAACCACCACAGTTTCAACATCTCTTCCATCTTAAGATGTAGAGAGTTCTTGCCTGAAATACTTCCCAAACATGATAAGGCATGACAAGTAATTTGCACCCATTTCAGGCCTTCGCTGTGGTGTGTGATACTCACTCCCCTCTCTCCCTCTGCAAACCAACACAGGAATCCTTCCTTCCTGGGCTGGTGGCTGCTCTAAGCTTTTTGCCCTCATCCAGCAGGCTAACATCGAACAGATCTGAAAAATGGACTCTGGTTCAGTGACTGTTCTGTTTTGCAAAAACCAGAAACTGCCCCAATACCTCACCATAGAACTATTTCTATAAAACCTTTCTGGCCAGTACTTTTAATGTATATTTGTCATGGAAATAAGGTCTGAACTTCCTCTGAGTTTCAGCATCATGAAATGCAGTCTCTCACCCCAGTTTCCTATATAACACAATACAGTTGGTGAGATCCAAAGCTAAAAATGACCAAAATAAACACTGTAGAGCTGCCTCTCTGCCAAGGTCATTCCGTCACAGATTTTGAAAAAATAAAAATAAATTCATGCAGACTCGTGTGCTTTTCTTGGTAACACAAATAAGATCAGAGGGAAAAAAAAAGGTACTGCAGATGGGAATGTCATTGCTCGTCATTGCCAGGTTTGCTCTTCCTTTCAGGTGCGCCCCTGGTTACTATGGGAACCCTTTGCTAATTGGAAGTACTTGTAAAAAATGCGACTGCAGTGGCAACTCAGACCCAAATCTGATTTTTGAAGACTGTGATGAAGTGACCGGCCAATGCCGCAACTGTCTGCACAACACCAGCGGGTTCAAGTGCGAACGATGCGCTCCGGGTTACTATGGGGATGCCAGATTTGCTAAAAACTGTACAGGTATTGTCTATAATTTAGTACAGCAGAGCTGAGCAAAAGGCACCACAGCAGGATCTATGGATGATCTCTCAGAGATCACAAATGCCTGAATGAGTTAGCAGACACCTGTGGCCCTCGAGGGCAGTGGGTGCTCCCAGCCATCTACCAGGTGGGATAATTTGTATGCCTGTTCAGTTGAATCATTGCAGGCACTAGGGAAATGTCTCTTTCCATTGCCCATGAGCAAGACTCAGAACTCAGACTCCAACATCTCTAGTGCCTGGGCAAGATTAAAGCAAGCACTGTTATGTCCTCCTGAATCTTGTTTTAAATGAGTGTCTCTAAGCTTTCTTTGGCAGAGACTCCACACTTGTACTTGTCCACACCTTGTGCTGCCCAACATGACCACTCAGACTGATGGTGCTTAAAGACTTGAAAGCATGTTTTGTGGGAACAGGATCATCCTTCCTGTCCTGACCCAATCCCCACTCACTTTCTGCTAGTTTCCACACTGGTAATGTATTTTGCATTTCCTATGAGTCTGTGTAATCTTTTTGGTTACTGTATTTCCACACCAGAGATGACTACACTTTCAGCATCTGGAAAAGTGCTACCCAGAGGACCTTACCAAAACATACCTGCACAGAGGGGTCACAGAGGTTTATCTCCTCTAATATAATTATTCTCTTAATTTACATGGCATTTAATCCAAACAGGGCTTTGACCTCATGTCCTTTGACCTTGCTTTGGCTCTGAGAGACAAGTTTACATCCTCTTTCAAAGCACTCAGAAATAGCTGCTGCTAAAGGCAAAATGCAGGTGGTCAGAACAAGGACCTTGGGGCTCACTCCCACCTCTTTTGTGGGGTCATTCCTTCAAGAACCAGAACACAAATGGGGGAGACAGATCATTCCTAGCACTCAGCCTGACTCAAAAGTAAGACATAGCCAAAGCTCACACCCAACTTGGACCTCTGAAGTGCTCTGGGACCTCAAAGTACAGAGCTACAGACCTCAGGGCCTTAGCAATACCTTGATCAAACCTATGTCCTTCTTTCAACTCGCTGTGGGCTTGGACTTTGCTTTTTACTACCTTACTATAAAGTGCTAAGGTGTGTCTTGGGACACACAGGATGGAGGCTGTGAGGATGCTCTGTACTCAAGTTCCCTTTGTGCTGATATCTTCATTTGTAGGGGACCGTGTATGATGCCACTAGTGGTCTGTTCTAGTTTTATGTTCCAGTGACAGCTAGAAGTTGAGTGCTCATCTCCAGGATGTATCTCACATCTCTAGGTCATGTCCTTAAATTCCATTTATGCTGAACAGGGAGAGATGGTGCTCATGCACAGTGATCCCAAAAGCCAAAGCCAGGTACTAAAACCAGCTAAAAAGACACTGGCTGTAGGGAACAATATGCCTGAAAACACTGCTCCTGCCTGGATTTAGGCACCCATGGCATGCCCAAAATTCAGCATCTCTGTGATTTTGAGGTTGCAAAAGGAAACATTTATGAACTTCACTAAGTCAATTCACCTGAGATTATTTAACTGCAGTCCTCCCATAATGAATGCAAGGATCTAGTCTGTGGCTCCTGAATGCCATGAGGCAGGAGAAACATACCCAACAAAGTGCAGCATTCATGCCCTGACCCTGGGCAAAAGCAAAATTCGAACACCTAAGAGTAGCTTTGCCAGAAGTCTGAGGCCTACAGGGCATTCCAAGAGTCTAAGGAGGTTATGTGTGACATAATTTTGGAAGATGCCTCTGAACATACAGTTTTGAAAATCAAGTTAAGTCAAACTTTCATTGCCTCAGTATAGGTTTTTTTGTTTGCACCCTTGAGGAGGTGCAAAGGGCTACTCTATACAGGCTTTTCACACGGACTATAAATCAGCATGGTAGTTCTCTTCATTAGCAGATTTTGTTGTAGTGTTTGATCTTTGCTAAAAATAAAAAGTGCTAGGGCTCTTGAATATGTTATGAGAGGTACAGCTTTTCTCTATTTAGAAGTGAATTTAATCTTGTAGCGCATTCTATCAAATCCTGACTTTGCAGTATTATGTTTCAAAGAATTACACACTTCTCATTTCAACTTTATTTCTGCTGAACACCACAATGTGCTGTACTTGACAGTACTGTGTCGTTTGCAGTACACCAATACATCCATGGTATTCAAACTATTCAGGTAGCTCACAGGGTAAGCTTATACTTTGTTTGGCATTGAGGAACAACTAAGAACTATTGCTTAGAAAAATATTGATTCTGAAATAAAACAAGTATCTTCTTTAATGCTGAAAATTACAGAAACAAAACTAGTGTAGGAATCAGGAGAATCTGTGTACATGGTTTCCACAGAGAATCTCAAAGGGTATATGGGACAAGAAAAAGGCAGGAGAACTAAATGAGCAAACAACACTATCCAGGTAAGATCATCTTTTCTCTTTTGACCAGAAGACAAATTCTGTGTAGCTGTGAGCACACTTCAAAGCTCTCCACAAATGTCCCTCAGAAATAAAGAAGAATAAATTTAGAAGCTTTCTCCACCCGTAAACCATTGAGAGTTTTAATTAAACCATGGAGAGTTTTAATTCCCTACTTAAAATGTGGTACCTCCGAAATAAGTAATTGAAAAATGGTCAGGACATCTTTTGAAAATAATTTGCTATAAGCTTTTGTGTAGCAAACTAACAGGTATCCATTTAAATAAGAAAACATCGTTCAATTTTCTTGAGCACCAACCTCATCTGAATTTGTAATTGTAATCTTGTCATCTTGCCTAGTTCCCATGATACAGATAAAGAGAAAGCTCTGCTTTCAGCTGAGACTTTTCTTTCACTTCTTAACAAAAGAAATAACAAATTAAAAACAACTGTAAATCCAAAAGCTGGGAGTTACCCAGTTCATACGGACTGTGCTGAGATCAAAATACCAACTGTACCAGAAAAGTCATAACCAATTTCTGTTCTTACATTAGTGCAAAACCTGATTGGTTCTACTAACACAGGTCAATTTAGACACAATTATTCTGGCATTAGTACATCATGTTGTCTTTGAAGCTGTATTACACATTTTCACTGATAATTCCTTGAATGTGCAATGTAGAATGTCATTGCAAGGGTAATTCGTCGAGAACAATGGATGGGATGCAATAAAATGGCAGTAAAACATTTTGCTATATGAGATTCTGCTGAAAACATGAGTCACAAGAGCGAAACGCATTCCAGATAAGTCACTGCTGTTCTTATGTTCTGCTTGAGTTTTTATTATTGTATCAAAGTGTTCCAAGGATATTTTAATCTTTAAAATAATATATTTTAAAAGGCCAGTTAAACCTTGAAAGAGACACATTAGATTAAAAATTAGACTTTTTAAATAGCCACTTGTGAGGCAATAAAAATGTAACACACTCAATTTCAAAAAAACAATTTTAAATGTCATTTAGTCTTCATTGTAAGTGGTAGGAGATATTTACTTTTTGATATGCTCCAGCTGACGATGGAATTGGAGTCCAGTATCAATCCCTGATAGCTACAAAGTCTTTTTAGTGACAGCCTGACACAGCATTGATAAATTCCACAGGGCTGTGGAGAGATTTGTAACTAATAATTAACTTATTTGTGTTGCTTTTCTTAGCCCATCTCCTAAATGTCACGCTCTCTAGATGGTGGTGCATAATGACCCATCTGGGCAACTCTGGCCTCACTGTCTCTGCTTGCAACTAGGCTTTGAACAAGTAACTTCAGCAGAACTTCATTCTGTTTTCCACTTTATATTTTATTTGTTCCAATTTGACCACAGTGCAAAACCCAACTTTTCTACATATTGAAGGGAAAACTGGTCCAAGAAGTAATTGGTATTGGTTTGTCTATCCATGCACAATTCTAAGTGCAATAATTTCACTAGTCTTGGGAGGGGAAAGGGGAGTTGAACATTTTGAAGATTCTTCTTTCAAAAATCTTTTCTTTTTCCCCAGCATGTAACTGTGGAGGAAGAATGTGTGACAGCCAGACTGGAGAATGCCTCGCAGACAGTCCTGAAATATCTACTGACACAGGCTGCCCAACCATCAGTAAGATAATTATCACTAGAACACCAAAAACTAATATCGCTCTTGCATTTAGAATACAAATACTAACTTAAGAGCTCAGTACTCCACCTTGACCTTGGTCTCACAGAGCAGTTAAACTTGTGAATATACACAATGCCCCAATGATTGAGTATTTAAACACGATCTCACTCACTTTTCTGAGTACATGCATATGTCCATCTCTGTGATACAGACTGCAGAGCAGTGGGGAGTTATCACCAAAGCTACTTCTATAGACTTGGAGAAACAGTGCCTGCAGAATAATATTCTGGCCCTAGAAACTGGCATCACAACTTTATCTGTGCCATCTTGCATATAATTTCTGGTTTTCTAGTTGTATATCTGTTGTGGTTTAATCCCATCCATAAACAGCCGCTCACACACTGCGGCACCAACAGGATGGGGGAGAGAATCAGAAGGGTAAAAACTAGAAAACTCATGAGCTGAGATAAAGACAGTTTAGTAGGGAAATCAAAAGCCATGCACACAAACAAAGCAAACCAAGGAATGAATTCACTGCTTCCCATGGGCAGGCAGGTGTTCAGCCATCTCCAGGACAGCAGGGCCCTATAATCTTTACTTGGGAAGACAAACATCATCACTCCAAATGTGTGTGTCCACCGCCTCTTCCTCCTTCTTCCTCACAGTTTATGTACTGAGCATGATTCTATATGGTATGGAGTATCCCTTTGGTCAGTTGGGGTTATCTGTCCTGCCTCCTCCCAATTTCCCATGCATCCCCAGTCTCCTCACCAGCATGGCAGTGTGAAAGGCAGAGAAGGCTTTGGTTCTGTGTAAGCACTGCTCAGCACTAAACATCTCTTTATTATCAACCCTGTGCTTGGCACAAATCCAAAACATAGCCCCATACTGACCACTGTGAAGAAAATTAACTCTACCCCAGCCAAAACCAGCACAACATTTAATCTAGATTGTTGCTATTGACAATTTGACATATATTCATCAGTTAGTTTCCTTTCCACTATCTCCCATATCCTAATGATAGGAAGCTCAGGGAGTCTCCAGGACCACTATGTTGTAAATATAAACTGATAGTTTTTAAATGTTAGTATATTTACATCTGTGGTATAATGCAGACCATGTAGCACACATGGGTTCCTAAACTGAGTCCAAGAAGAGGGGTCATGTGCCTGAAGTGCAACCAGAAGGAAACCATTTGGGAGCTGCTACAATATCAAGCTAAAGTGTCTGCACGAATCTGTGTTTCACATTCACCCAAGTCTCTTGCATTTAGTGATGGCACCAGTGTCATGAAAAACAAGGCAACATTGCAAGTATTCATCAGAAACCAGGTGATGGTTCTGTACAAGTGCTTTCCAAGCATGTTATAACTATGTTTGTAAAAGTGGTTCTCCTAATCAAGTAAGCAGCCAAGAGCCCATCTGCTGGACATCCTTGCTTCTCATAGTAAATTTTAAATACGGAGTTTTGGGTTCTGACAAAATGCAGTTGTTTGGTTTTTGACCCTCATCTGTTGTCCTTCAGGCCACAAACATACCGAGCCTCTAGGGAATAGCCAGGAAATACCTCTCCCTCTCTCCCTACTGATTACAGAATTGCTGTGGTAGCTTCTTGGAGCAATCCCATCTGGTGCTGCTCAGCTGGAAATGTCATAACTGTACTATGGGACCTTCAAAGTGGGTGGATGAAAGTGAAAGAAGAATGTGTATCTATCAGAATCCATCAATGACAAACAATGGGGCAAGGGCACTATAACATGAATTTATAACATGAATTTAACATATTTGCTGTTAACTAACACAGACACTAAAGAAAAAATGACACTCGCTTGTTTTCTTATCAGGCTGCGATAAATGTATTTGGGATTTGACAGACGACATCCGATTATCAGTTCTGGCCATCGATGAGAGCAAAGCGACTTTACTGAGCATTTCTACAGGTGTTGCAGCTCAAAAGCGTTTGAATGACCTGAACCTCACTACCACCCATCTCCAGGTACAAACACTGATGACATCTTATTTTTTAATGTAATTTGAATCTTTGAATTTCCTCTCCATTCCTGTAAATTGCAATCTCTTCCCTCACTAGAGAAATAGTTTGTTTTCAGATGCACTGGCTTTTTTTTCCCACACACAGGAGGCAATGTCCAAAAAAAAGGACCATGCCGAGCTTTGGACCATCCAGGTTGATGATGCTGCAGATGAAATGAATGATCTCCTGAGAGAGGCAGCAACACTTGATGAACAGGTTTGTTTATTGTCCCATGCCAAAGCTCTGAGTGTTTACACTTTGTCATATTCACCTGTTAGCATAAAAGTCTACTATAGAATAGTTCCAGCTGGAAAGGACCCACAGTGATCATCTAGTCCAACTGCCTGAGCAATTCAGGTGTGACCAAAAGTTAAAGCATGTTATTAAGGGCATTGTCCAAATGCCTCTTAAACCCTGACAGACATGGAGCATTGACCATCTCTCTATGAAACCTGTTCCAGTGTTTGACCCTTCTTGGTAAAAAGTATTTCCTAACATCTAGTCCAAACCTCTATGTTCACCGAACAAGAGTGGGTGTGCCCTGAAAGATAATTTGGGAAACTTTCTATTTCTGTTTTACAATTTTCTACTTTAGCTCTGAATTAAAAGCATAAATGACTTTTCAAGTCTTCACAAAAAAGGAAGGAGGTAAGGCCAAAGTCTCTTGAATGTGGCCAGTGGTTTGTCACCAATCACAAAAACCTTCCCCTCAGGATCTGAGTTCCCACCTTCCCCCTACACAACATATTTGAGCTGAGATAAACACACTGCCTTTCTCTTTCACATTTGGATTTCTATTTAAGCAAAGTAACCAGCACTACACTAATTCAGATTGACCTTGGGAGTATTTGTAGTATATCTATTTTACAGGTATGTTCTCATAAAATTAAATTAGCTCTGATTAGATATTTCAAAATAGATTACAAACCTGCCAGTTTAAGAGGTTTTTCATGTACCCACTGAGATGGGAGCCTGATCAGCACTCAAGATATTTTTAACATGATTGTAATCATAAATGTTGCATCCACATGCAACTGCCAGACCATAAAATTAAGGTTATCTGCTCTCAGCTCACACAACACTTTCATTGCACCCTGGAATACTACTGCTATGATATATATTATGAGAAGAAATAGAGTTAAAATTTGCTTCTCCCCTATTTTAAAGAGATAATATTAAACATCTTTCTGTTCTTAAGATACATATATATATTAGTGAGATACATCACTCTATGCTATTATCAGAGATAACCACAGCTATAGTAGAACTAGATTATAATTCATGCTTATTGCAAAATGCCAGACCTTATATTCATTGTACTAATTTTTTCACATGACAAATTAAAATTATTCCTTAAACTAAAACTCAAATACTGGAGCAACAAACAGGGGAAAAATAACACAAAGGAAAGTGGAAGAGAAAATTTAAGTTTGGATGTCTATAATTAACACTTACCTGGCAGAAAGGGCATCTCAGAATTACACAGACTATGCCTGTGCTCAAGAGTACTTTGATTAAATCAGGTCACAAACACACACACACCTCAGTACCTGTGAAAATTTGTCAGACCTCACATGCTTCAGTGTCCCTCTATGTAGCTGGTGGGCAGGATGATTAAGGCATTAGTTTTTCTATGAATATTTAGTGAATTTGGATAATAGCATTTCATTTTCAGTACTATCTGGGGATTTTTTAGCTCATTCCTCAATTTGATTGTCCCTGAACCAATAAATTCAGCGTTTCCTCTAATGCTTTTTCCACATCAATACTTGTGATTGTTCCTAAAGACACGGAAATTATAGCCCCGCTCTCTCACACTGAAAGGAAGGCCAAAATAATAACTCTAAATGTATTGAACTCTTTGCTCTTCCAAGGCACTTTTATGGAAATGGCTGCTAGGGCCCTCAGTGGGTTTTGCAGAGATAAGCAGCACCTTCTGTTCAGAGCATTTCATGTGCACATCCCCATGTCTCGGAGGCTGCTGCAGATTCTGATCTAAACCTCAAAGGCAGGATGAATGCACCAACTGTAGGCAAACTCTTCTGCTGAATGAGAAGAGTAAATGTAACCTCTAACTCCCTGAGTCTGCATGGGATGAGCTTTGAGCAAAACAGCACGTAGCTTGATCCTGGATGTTTGGCAGATGGGAGCCAGAATCCTTTCTACTAACAAACGTAAGGACGTTTGTTTTATCACTATGCCTATCCCTTTTAGCAGTGCTGGCCACACTGGCCCTGCCTTCAAGCACCACCTGGGGCCTCTGCAAACCCCAAGTGAAAATGTGGGAGAAGGCTGCTGTCAGTACTGAGCCTGCAGCCAGAAAATAGCTGAGCCCTCTGCGTTTCTGGCAGGGTCAAACAAGTATGAAGTGAACATACCAACAGCCAACTATCTTCCCTCTTATGAGGTGCTAGGGCACTGCAAACCCAGAAAACAATTTTACAGTGGAAAATTTTGCTGATGCAGCCCCAACAGAGACAATGAATCAAACACCTTTCCACTGGTAAGTGTGTGATGTGGGTTTGCACACATTGCACACAGACACACACAGACACAGAGACACACACACACGTGTGAGGGGTCCATGAAGCATCAGTGGCACAGTGGTCATAATTTTTTTTCTTTCCTAGTAAATGCCAGTGGAAATTAAGTTTCAGGACTCCCAGAGTCAGTGACCATGTAAAGACCATAACTATGACATGGTAGCTCTCCATTTCCCTTATATGTAAGGGAACACAATGCAGAGTCCAGTGACCAATGCAATAAAGTATAGGAGAGTGGCTATGCTTTTCAGAGTGTTTTCAATCCTTGTTCTTTTTCCTATTTTAATAAGTTGCACAGCTGGAGACCTCACTTGAGGGAGACACTGATCTAAAAATGGTTGTGAGCTTGACAGCTTTTTCTTCATTCTATATGCTTACTCAGAAAATGCCATACCCAGCAAAATGAGATAGTCCCACTGAATGCCTGGGAGGTTCAGCAATGGAGTTTTAAAACTGCACATAATTTATGAAAATTTGATTGCAGCAAATGATGAATAAATATGGGACAGATTTTAGTCTCCTGCTCTGCAATTCTGAAAGCACCGGCAAGACAGATCTTCTCTTCAAACACCTTTGTAAACACCACTTTATATGATAAAAAGGACTTTCACAGGCTCATCAGGAGAGAGAAAAATGTGTGTTTATACCGCTCATCCTCACATGTGCATATGAATCTGAAAAGAAATATAATGTTTCTCTCACATGGTTTATTCATAGGGAAATGAAGCATCCAGCAAAGGCCAACTGATTGAGAAGGAAACCACGAAGACCAACAACCGTGTGACTCAGCTTGTGCAGCAGCTCAACAATATGAGAGATAACATTCAAGGTAAATAGGTTCCTTTCTGGGCCAGCCCAGTGTCAAGAATGTATTAATGAAACCTCCAGCAAAGAAATGTCATATCACCTGGGCACTCTCACAAAGTAACCTGCACATAAGGTTTTTGCAGCCTGAAATGACATGACAAAAACTTGTCTCTTAGGAGACAAGTGACACCATGGGCTGACTTGGTCTGACACCCAGAACAAGAGCTTCTATTTCATTTTTCTTTCTTGGACAGAGCAAAAGAATAGTAAATAGGTTTACTTCAAGCTAATTCAGCTTGTGTCATTGTGTGTTTGAATAGCTGCTCAAGGTATTTATATACCCTTGTGGTAAAAAAAAAAAAAAAAAAATCAGTATCAGATTGGGGCTGCATGGAGCCACAAATACAAGCACAGAATGGGCTATGACAGTGCTCTGTGTTTTAGTTATCAGCAGACTCATACAAGGGCACTATTCCTATCCTGCTAATAAGTAGTGGAGGCCATATGAATAACTGGAGAGATTTTCCAAAACTGTGCTTTCCTCTTTGAACCCTTGTCAGTCAGTTAGGTCTGACCACTTTTGATGATCACACCAGTGAGTATTACTTTAAATCTAGCTTTTGCCTTTTAGTAAACTGTTGCTGTGAAGGATTATAAAAAGAAGTGAAAACAGTTGGAAACATGTAGGTGAAAATTACTTCCACCATCCTCAAAATTATTCTTCTACAGGGCCATCACCCCTGTAGAAGGCAAATCACTTTTTACTGAAGGGGTGTATGTGTACACAGACACACAAATGCGTGTGCTGACATTAGGAAAAAAAATCCATAGAGCCCCTGGTCATGATCAGTTACTGTTCAGCATGAGCCTTCAAAGCTTCACTAATGAGCTCAGGAGCCAGCAAGAACATGCATACAAAGATACTCTGCCAAAGAATCAGTGGTGCCACAATTACACATCTATTTTTTATAACCATCTTAGGGATGCATAGTGCTGTCTTTGCCAACTCTGATTATCCACAACACTAGTGAAAAATGCAAGCCAAAGGCATGCACATCATAGGACATAAAAGATGGGGTGACTGGTATTCTAGGCCAGGGATTCAGAAGAGGGTAAACATTGTAATGCCTACACTGGGGATGGGTGAATTCAATTTCAGCTTCAGGGATCCAACAGTGTTTTTTTGAACTGTGACCAAAACCTTGAAATAGTATCTCTCTCCAAACCAGCTAGGCAGTATCAGACCAGGAGCCATATGTTACCTCTTTAGGGTGCCTCAAACTTCTTCAGATGGAAAAAGATGTTATTTCCATCTCCTTACCATTGTTGTTATTTAATAACATGATCTTTTTGCAGCAGCACTTATAAACCACAATCCTGGATGAAAGCCCCAGCCTGCTTCATGCCACAGAACTCAGTTAAATGATGATATAAGCCTATAAGAACTGCCAAGCCAAATAATGCGCACAACCCACGCCTGCTTAATCTCATCCTCTTCTGATGAGACCTCCACATATGCCAGAAAGTGTGATTTATTTACAGGTTTAATTTCAAGACTAGATTAAACATAATAATTATCTACTATAAAGTTGAAGATAATTAAAGCTTTCTTTTGCCATCAGCAGGATCTGGATTCACAAAAGTAAAAGTACTCCATGGTATTTACTTCTCCATAGTCACACTGAATTGACCATCTGTTCCTTCTTCCCCCCAGAAATAAGCAGCAAGTCGAAATACTATGCAATTCAACAAGAGCTGAGCCCCGAAGAAATTGCCCAGAAGAGAAGTGAGGCTGAGGAGATGCTGAAGGAGATCAAAGGCCGTAAGCCCTTCGCTAATTCGAGGCAACTTGCAGATGAGGAGGAAAATGCAGCAGAGAAATGTGAGTTTTAAGTCTGTTTTCCATTCAGCCACGTTTTGATGCACAGCTAGCATAGGTTGGGCAGCTCTAGGTGTACTGCTGAGTCCCCAAGGAGGACCAGCAGCTGCTTGGCAAGCACCAACTGGTATGCTTGAGATGTTGCTGCTTCCAAATGCCTGTGCCAAGCCTCTGCTGGTGCTTGCTGCTCCCTGTGGCAGAATGGGGAGAAAAAGATCTGTGTGTCTGTGTGTGCCTGTGCACTGCAGCACCTCAACAATAGCTGCTTAGGAAGGTTCATGGCAGGGCTGGCTTTGCTAACGTGAACATCTTGCCCCCTGCCAGCTCTGCCATGGGGCCAGCAAACTCCAGCAGAGAGAGAAAAACTGCTGGCATGGGAAAAAATTCTCACAGCTCGATGAACGTAAGACAGAACATGAGACATAAGGACTGTGTTCTCCAGAATAGCATGCCTAGGTTTGACAATGAAAAACAAATGAAAAACAAGGAAAGACAAACCTAGTTTCTTTTCGGAAAATCTTCTTGAGAGGGGGAAATTAATAAGATTTAAATGAGACAGTAAAATAAGAGGCATCTTTCCTCTTCAAAAGAGGAAGGAAAATTAAAATCTAGGTATATGATCTCTCTCTCAAGTGAGCTTTAAGAAAAGTGTTTTACTGTCACCTGAGTAACAGCAGCAGAAATTGTTGTATAGGTAAGTATTGTCAGATATTCAAGCTTTGGCTTAATTGATGACCTCTTATTTTTCTCCCAGTGCTACAGCAAGTTGAAGAGTTTTATGAGAAGTACAATGACACCAGATCCCTAGTATCTGATGTGCTGGAGCAGTTCAGCGAGCAGGATGTGAAGCTGTCAGACCTGGAGGAGGCATTAGACGAGGCACTTGACTATATTATACAAGTAGAGGATATAAATAGGGAAAACACAGCCAGTCTCCAAAGCCATGAGGTACTGTGCAGTACATTTATCATAACTGCTGTGTATGAACACACCACCCCTGCTGTTGCTAAAGCAGTAGATTGCATGCAATTTAGATTCAGAAGCCATCATGCCAGAAAATTTCTTGGACAACTCAGCAGGATCTTTAGATCTAAGTTGTAGAAGTGTGGAGTGACAAAAAATTGACAAGATTTGGCATGTCATGTCCAAAGAAGAGATGGATATTTATGCCTAGACTAGGAAGACATCTTACAGTAAAACCCAAGCAGCTTGAAGTTTCATGTAGCATGGCTGCTATAAGTATTGTGGTGGAATTGTGTCACCTATTAGGTACTGATTTATAATGTGGAAGGACTTCATGTTCACAACAGTAATTATATTCTATGAAAATAAGTATTTGTAGACTGCACTGCATTTCTGCTCTGGGCTGTGTGTGTTCATACAGTCCCATCCAAACTTTCTCTCTG